GCAGGCGTCTTTATTTTGAATCTTATTTCAAAAAAGAAGACAACTTTGGAAAAATTCTCATGCATAGAGTAGGAGGTGCTGTCGTGACAGACAGCTGAGAGATTTGCAAGGAAATGGCTCGTCTTTCATTATAGAATTCTTTCTCTCGCAAACTATAACCTCCTTGGCTACTCATACTTTCATTCAGTCCCAAATCAGACATCAAATGGGAACTCCTCTCATGCACTTTTGTTCAGATTGAGAAGAAAAGCCAGCCAAGGAAACTGCAGAGTGACAGAGAGTTGTAAGTATTCATCCATAATAGCACCAGCAGAGGTAGCCCTTGCCACTTTCAAGAGTAAACAAATAAATTCTCAAGGAGAATAAGGTGGAAAAACAGAAGCCCTCCCTTTTTTCTTTGGTTCACGTGGGAAGAAAACTTTGAGAAATTGCACAGGACAACTTTATTTGGGTGTAGGATCATTTCTTCACATCCTAGCTAATCTTTAATATAGAGGGCTGTTTGCAACAGCAACAAGAAGCTTGCCATGTCTTCAAGCAGTAGTCTAGCTTTCCTGCTACCGAATGTCTCTGAGAATTGTGCCACTTCATTCTCTCCTAAGAGAACTATCAGCGCTGCTTAAAGCAACAATAGTTCTTTTTAGTAGATAAAAATAAAATAATAAAAAGGGGGGGATCTTTCAGGGGAGCAGAATGAGCCAGATCAATCCCCTGGCCTAGCATGTCGGCAGGAAAGCAGCCTATACGTGCAATTGGCGTATCGTGAATGTGAGTTTCTGGTATTCCTCATGGACCGCTTTTCTGTAATTGACTTTTGACTGTGCCCTGAGCTCTCATGAGCCTTTAAGAGTTAACGAAGCAGAGCGTTCGCATTAGGCCGAGACTGGCAATTTCACACCCGTGCGTGCATTTCTGTGCTGATTTAGTTGTAAAGTAATTTCTTTCTGTTCCCTAGTTTCAGCCATATGCTAATAACATCTGTTAGTGGAACTTCAAGATGCTTCCTTGCTCACGTCTTCCCTCTGCAGACTACAAGATTAATATAGCTCCTGCCATTGTCTTGCAGATAATGGAAGCCCAGAGGGTGAATCTCCCTCTTTTATGGATCTACACAGGACTATTATTTTATGTTTGTGGCTGGGCCATTGCAAGGTTTTTTTGTGTTTTTTTTTAGCATGCCCTTAACAAGGCCGGCCTGTATGAACCATTTGTCTGTCTTGAGCATCCAAGAGCTTTCAGCCCAATTTTGTTGCGATTCATTTATAATCTATTGAAGGCAATGTGACAGCACCTGCTTTGCTTGGCAGAGGGTTTAATGTTAGTCTTGGGAGGCCTGTGGAGAAAGTAGTTTCCTGAAGCTCTTGCCAGAAAAGATGTGGCCATTTTTGCTGTGTGCTGGATGGGAAAGCATAGGTGTGTCCCTAATTTTAAAATATTAAAAAAATAAATAAATCAGAATGGAAATTCAGATCTTGGCATCTTCTTAGTACAGCAGTGAAGACTTGGCTCTTGATAGGATAAAAATGATAATTTACTCATAGTACCTCACTTGCTCTGAAATGAGCTCTGGGTCAAGTGCATGTTAATTTTCAAACTATTTAATTTTCAGCTACTTATTAGATAACAACAGAGACAATCAATTACGATTTTTGTTTACTGTTGAGAGTCTCTTGTGTGATATCCAAGATCTTACTTTGCTCACTAAGTTCTCTGCTCTATCCAACTTTTTTTAGATGATGATGATGATTAAAATTTGTATTCCGCCCAACTTCTAGTGACTCCATAGGCCACTATAGAAAATAAAAATGATGGATCACCCCAATGTTTTGTTTGGATGCATTACCAGAAAATAAATTCATGAAAGTGCCACCAATAGGATCTCACAATCACAAATCTGCCCATTAGCCCACCAAGATTGAAATCCCCTGATTTACTACATTTCTACCCAGTAGATTTTGAGGTTGTATATGTAGATTTTCCAATTAGGATCCACCACTTCCATAATTGCTTAGCTTATCCCAAGTTTCTGTATTGTTTGCTTTCTAACCATGCCTTGAGAATGCTCACTGCTGGCAAACATATAAAATAAATATGGATAACTTTTTGAGGGGTTCTTTTACAATCAATTTTAATCTGACATTTCAGTGGAAACCATTTGGAGCCTGAGGTCAGGAAAGAATTTCCTCCTCCATATCCTTCATTCTTAACTGAGGCTCAGGATCAGATGATTTAATGCTAAAATCTAATAGAATATTTCTGGTGGCCACAAGGACTGGAGAGCAAGTCCTTATTTTCAGATTGGATCCCAGCTAGATGGATGCTTGCTAAGTGGCAGAGAGTCTCCTTTGCATGAAGAAGGTCCCAGGTGCAGAATTTGATAGCACTCCCAATTTGCCTGTACAAATCTGACCAGCTTTAAGGGAAAAAATTGCAACTGCCCTCCAACTTGAAACTCCCTGGGGGTTCTTAAACTTTTAGTTCTGTATTAGTTTTTATATATGTAAAGCTTTAATAAAAATATTATATATAAAAAATAAACTCCCTGGGAGTTCTGACCCACTGTTTGAGAATCTCCACACTAAACTAGAATACGTGGGTTCATAGATCCAGTTTAGCTGCATAAACATTATGCTTAGTGACATGTGTGAACCAGGCTAACATCAAGATAATACAACTGTCTTTTCTATATGTAGTGAAAGGAACATGGAGATCACATAAGTTGCCACTTATCTGACCATTGCCCTGGCTATAGCTCTTCCCCCTGTCTCCCAAGGTCATTCCCACATACCATTACAAAAATCGACTTGTGGTGGCTTCCAGTATGGCAGAGGAAGCACTGGGGCTTTGCTTGCTTTCTGACTCCCTTTGCACCCATTGTTCTGTTGCTCCATTTTCCACTCCTGGAAATCACAAGGAAAAAGACACGGGCTGAGGGGTGGCATTTCCAAGCAGATGTATCAATAGTGGAGCTATATGGACGAACCCCAAAGGATTCTTATGATAACATGTTGCTAAGGCAGGCAGTTCTAGAACTGCATTAGGCAGAGAAATATCACCTCTGCAATAAATGAGCAAAGCTGTCATATAGAGAGATATCTTAAAACAGACCAAGAAACTAGAAGATTAAGAAAAGTTTATACTCCAGGAAGAGGTAAATGTAATGTATGTATTATTGAGGTTTGACTATTAGAGAACATCATATAGAATGAATCCCCAAATAATCTCCCACGTTCCTGAATAGAATTTCCAACTGTACATTGATACCAAGGGTGGGTACCTGCATCTCTTAGCAGCATATACCCCTCACCCCTTTCTGTGTCCCCTGATAAACCTCTCAAGATTGCATTGCTAAAATTTCATGATCAAAGTCAGGTTTGACTCTTTGTGATGGAGTATGTCTTCCACAATAAATTGTCGCCCATAATAAATTTTATTTCTCTCCTAAGGAAATCCTACTCATCTTTTTGAACTCATCGGTCTGTTAGATTCCTTGTCTTCTGTTTCTTTCCATCTTGCTAAGCATGATCATTTTTATTCAGCAGTAATAGTAGTATAATGCATGATATAAATGTAAACCTCTGATCATTGCAATGGGGATGGGAAAAGCCGTACCCCAAATGCAGTACTCCAGTTCACATGCTACCAAGCATTATTCCATGGGCTTTGGAAAGGAATCATGCACACAAAGGAAGTGTGTAGCAGTTCTGAACTTTGGAAAAACTGTCCCCCTCGCGCCCCCCCCCCCATTTTTAGTATACGTTTCTGCAATCCTGGTCAGTGACCATAATTAAAGTTCTTTGATGTGTATTTTTCTTTCTTCCCATAATTCTTGACCCACTTTCCCATTATGTTGAAGGAGGTTATCCCTTCTAATTGGAGATAGAAATTGTGCAGACAGATCCAAGAAATTTACCTGCATGGCACGGGCAGAACTTGTTGCTTTTCAATGTAATTGGCATAAAAGCCTAGAATAACTCAGAGAGGGAATTGTTAAGACAATTCCCCTCAGGACAAGCGGGTCATATAGATGTCAGTAGCATCACATTATTGCCATTATATTAGTGATTGGGGCTTTATCCTAGAGGAGAAACTGCTTTTATGGACAGCTCTGTTAATATTCTGACATGACATTAAAATGTTATCTTGCTAATGCAAACATTTCTGTAAGCTTTTCTGGGTTGACTATAGGAGAAACTAAACAGACGTGCAGAATCCTGTATTTTCCCCCAAAGTGACCATAATGTTTTGCAGTGATTTCATCTCACTGAGGCTATAATTTAAAGTAAGACTAAGCAATTGGGTGTCCTCTGGATATTTTGAGTGATATTTCCAGTCAATTCCAGCCAGAACAATCAAGGGTCATAAATGCTGAGAGTGATAGGCAAAAATATCTGAAGTAGCCTAGTTTGCTTACCTCTAATATAAAAAAATGGCTTTTACACTATGACATTACATTGGTTTGCTTGTTTGTATAATGCTAGAGGTGAATATTGATAGAAAAAACGTTGCATCCACATTCACTCTTTTTGGATGGGTCTATTAACTTTAACATTATGGAGGAACCACTTTTATCGCTTTCTAGAAATAGGTTGGATTGAGTGACAAAAGTTACTTCCATCCCATGTCCTTGTATGAAAATTTATTACATATTCCTCCTAATAGGGATATTTCTCACAACTAATTTTCCTTCATTTAGAGGTTTTATACATTCTCTCTCTCTCTTTTGCTAATGTAGACATTTTTGCAAGCCCATTGTGCACAAGCCTTATTGGTAAATCGGTACTACAAAATCTAGAAGGGTGCGAATATTGATGAAAAATTGCAGTCTGGTTCATGCATAAGTTTGGGAAATAAAAATTAGTGTGGGAAATACAAATTAGTGATTTAAACAGATTTCTCACCCATCAGTTCATCACTCGATAGATGGATTATTGTCAGTTCCTGTTCTTTTGAAAATCCATTTCTTGTGCTTCAATCATGTCATGTTCTTTCCTTTCCAGGTGATCAGCGCTCCAACATTGTCAACGAATCCAGCAGCCTATTAGGGGGGTCCCCTCGAAGGCAGTGTGGACGCAAAGGCTCCCCCTATCACACTGGGCAGCTTCACCCTGCTGTCCGAGTGGCTGATCTTCTCCAGCACATCAACCAAATGAAAACAGCAGAAGGGTATGGTTTTAAGCAGGAATATGAGGTGAGAAAGTCACGAGAGCAATCCAATTTCTAAAGCCCATTCCTTCTCTCATTTCACTTTGGACTTCCCATGCATCCCACCTGTGATAATGTGACTGAAATTTGGTTCAGCTTAGGAAAAAAGAAATCAAAAAGGCTTTCTTTTCCATTCAGTGGAATGAAAATGATCAGAGAGGAAAAATATGAAAGAAGATTTCTGGTGTATTTAGAAGAGTGAATGGCATAAACAGATTCGCTCTTAGGTGAAGCCATCTTTTCTTCTACCTGCCTTTGCTGGAGAAATCCTTCCTTTTGTTGGGTTCTGCTTTCCACTGCTGAGTTTGGAAGGCTACAAACAGTCCGATGCCACTATGTCCTGATGCCCAGAATATCTCATGGGTATTAGGATGCCAAAAGGACATTGTGTCCTCCTGAAACCACAGCACTGTCTCTTCTGCTATATCCAAAGAGAACATTTGCTGCCACTCCATTTCATGATGTTGTCACAAACAGTATAGTTTTTTGCAGGATTTCTTTGTTGCACAAAATTGCTGTCTTGTGTCCGTTGTTATAGATGCTTGAGACCCTCTTCTGCAGTATTACAAATGTGACAAACCTGGGCTAGTTACAATAATTGGGGCATCTTGAAAAGCTGTTGTACATGTTCCAAACCAGTTGTTTGAAAATCACTTGGATGTTAGGAACAGGGAATGAAACATATTATTTTCTTCCACTTTTACTCTGTTACTTTCAGCAGTGGGTGTTTCTATTATTTCACACAAGCATCACGGAAATCAGCTCATGAAATAAAAGGAAATGAAAACCCTGCAATGCATATCCAAACATTATCCAGTAGGGGTAGGGGATGATACATTTTCAGCAGCCCAGGAATCTAGATACATACCAGGGACGGGTAATCTTTTGACTGCTGGGAGTGGGCACATTTAAACATTTTTGTACAAAGGTGTGTGTTTCTCTTGCCTATCTTTTGACTAATGAACATGAAAAACTCAGGGGTTGTGGTAAAATCTGTAGTTCTGCAATGAGGATGTGATGGTCCTCCAGATGCTACTGTACTACAGCTCCCATCATTCCTGATTATCGGTTGTGCTGTTAAAGGAATCCAGTGCCACCAGGGAGAAGCCAAGTTGAGAAAGGGTGATTGAAATTCTGTACATTGAAACTAAGTGGTGGTAGGTCATAACACGGATATGTATTCTCCCTGATGTAGTTTCTTTTTATGCGACCTATGATTTAAATTTCAAATGAATGCATTTCTCTGCTGTCCTCTTGATCATTCAGTGAGGCATCCCAGGGCATTGCCAGGGTTGAAGGGGATCCTGTGTAAGATGCCCTGTGAGTCAGCCTCACCTCTGTACATATCTAAGCATTTCATTTTCCTGCTTTCTCTCCCTCCCCCTGCATTTCCCCTTCTAGCACACTTTTCTTTCCTTCAGTTTAACATGTAGAAGAGTTTGAATGTACCTGAGAGCTAAACTTTAGTTGTACTTGAAATCTTAATTTCTCCAGAGGGGCTTTTAAGAGTACAAAGGAGGAGTAGGGAGCATGACAGATCCTTTGTTAATTCCTCCAGGTTATGGGATCCTGGAACAATGCCCCATGTTTCTCTCTTAATGGCACCCTGGAGAATAGCCAGTAATGACAGCAACATCCTGCTAGTATGGAACATATTTTTCCTGTGGTTCAGACAATGTAAAGAGAATGGGAGACTAGTTTCATTCTTGTTCATTATCTAGAGCCCTTTCCTCTTTTCAAAAACCCTTCCTATTTTAGCAAAACTGCTAACCAGGCCTGATTCATTTTGGATAACATCTCTTCCATTAAATCAGTCCCAACCAATTTTTGATAGAGTGCCTACATTTTGTGCCCTTCCTTCTGAGGCATGGCGACATTTGACTAACTTAAGCAGTGTGGATTAAATTTTGGAGGTCTGTATTTTTTAACAGGATGTCTTAATGTTGCATTTGTCACTAAATGTGAGATGGCATCTGGATATTATTTTCTCTGCTGGTGGTGTTGGTTCCTGTGCTAATCTAAAACTTTTAAGAAAAGTTTATACATAATACACACTAGACATTTGCACAATGACTGTGCTTTGCCTTGCACTGTGGAGGTGATACAATTTGCCTCTCTGGGGTGCATCAGTGCACCTTCTGATGTGCTTTTAAGGAACATTTTTGAGGATGTTTTCTCAAAGGATCCTTTTAAGGATCATTTTCATTTGCAGGATCCTTTTAAGGATCATTTTCATTTGCACGTCCAAGAATTGTGGAAAAGGTTTCTGAGCATGTGCTGCATGAGTACAAACCTGTTAGGCTTAACACCAGGCATGGCAGTAAATCTTTGCTGTCCAAGTTCTCCTTGTATCCAGCAACTTGCATACAACAGAAGCTCACTGTCACAACACGGCTAGGCACATCACTTAATGGCACCCAAGGTAGAAGCAGAAACCAAAAATCAAGCCTTCCTAGAGGTCTGCACCAGGTTTTAAATTCTAGGCCTTTTCCTCCCCACTTTCCCTTCAATAAAAATGGGGCTGTTCTCTTCCCAGCATTGAGATTGGGAGACGTCTGCTCAATCAGGGTTTTGTCTAACATGAGAACTGCCTTGCAAGCTTTAGTTCTTATAGCCCCCTCCCTTTTGAAGTTGTGCACAGTCTGCATGCAGGCATCGGTCCGTCAAATAAACCCTATATTTGATAACCAGTTTTGAATCAGTGTAGTGGAGCTAACCTCTCGGGAAGCCATTGTTATCTGTACTGCTAGTGGAAATGTTGTGTGCTTATTCCTAAGGGTACTTGATGGACATAATAGTCTTCTCTTCCTCCTAGAGTTTCTTTGAAGGCTGGGATGCTTCAAAGAAGAAAGAAAAGACCAAAGGGAGACAAGATCACATGCCTACCTGTAAGTATCTGAGACAAAAGCCTTTTCCTAAAAAAAGAAACAAAGAGAAATCAATAACCTTTCTTTCATTTTAGGCTAGCTGAAATGTCCTGAAACTCTGTAGAGTTTGCACAGTATGGACTTGGGTTGTGTCTTACTCTGATCTTGGTCTGTCAAATTCACAGCAGGTAGATTTTGAACCAGTATTGATTCCATTTGCAAAAGCAATCATGTCAACATATTAAACCAGTGTTGTCCAAACTTGGCCAACACTTAAACTCATCTTAAAGTGGCCAAGTTTGGACAACACTGTATTAAACTGAGGGTGGGGTAGGATGCGGGGGGCTGTTCCTAGGTTGCCACCACCACTTTCATTCAGAGAACAAATTTACCAACAGAAAGGACCATATAAAAAATCCACACCACAGGAATTCCAAGTGATTTGATAAGGGCCATTATCTATCTAGCAATAGTAATGGCAGTGTTATGGGTTTGAAAGGTTGTAGATAGTTGATTTTTTCCACAGGCCAAGGTGGTAATAACAACAATAATGCATACCTCACATTTGTTCTGCCCCCAAATTCCAACTGAATAAATGCATCTTGGGTCCGCAGTGTGTCCACATACTTGCCTTGGTATTGCTGAAGCTGTATGCCTCACTTTATTTTACTTCACTTCACTTTATTTTGAATAAAGTAAGGCAAAGAGAGGCTAGAATGCTGTAAAGAAAAGGGCCAGCCTCAACTTTTACCCCAGCAATTATTCTGTGTTTCTCATCTGTCCTGGAGGCATTCCTATGAAATAAAAATAACGGGGAAGGAAAGGTCTGCATTCCACACCAGTCTGCTTATGAAAAATGCAGTGGGAATTTGAGGTGGAAGATGTAGATCGACCATATATGAGTTGCCAAAATCAGACAAACGCTAAATGGCGGCAGAGAGTTAGAGATTTATGGACTTCCCTAATTGGAATACTTGCTCTGGGTCTCGCGTCTGGAAGATACTTCAGTGTGTTAAGCTGACATGACTTGGTAGCACAAACACGTGGAGAAGGGATGGGGCTGAAGTGATCCTGGCGTCTTAATTCCTGCAGGAGCTAAGAGCTTGTTTGAGCAAACCCTGATTTCATTTGGAGTTTGAATTCATTACTGGGTAACTGTATTGGGGGTCACTGATGGACGAGGTAGAACACCTCTCCAGAGAAGGAGCTGGCCTGGAATGTGATAAAGTGATGCAACAAGCCATCATTATGAGCTCTTCTAAATATGACATGCTCTCTGTGGGTGCGTGTGGCCGAGGTCTCGGATTGCACTAAACCGTAGAGTAGCTTGCCTGAACCTAGCCATTATGAATTCTAAGCCATGGTTTATAAGTTAGGATATTGTGCCTTGGATAATACAACCTGGTTAAAGCAAATCATGGCTTATCATGATGTAACGCAGCCTGTGCCAGACACAAAGAGCCATCAAATGATGATAGGGTATTCAGTGCATTTTTTAAAAAAATAGTTAAATGAGTAACCAGGGATATCCTCTCTTTGGGGACCGGAAGGATGAATGCAATTTATTGTGAATTTCTGCTATAAAATATCTTCTCCAGCAGCTGCTTTCTCTTTGCCACACTGGCTATTTTTATTGCTCCTAATTATAGCTGTCAATCTGCTGTTTTCCAAATTGAAATTCCATGTGATCACAGAGGAAAAAGATGAGACCGAAATTGTTCAAAACAGCTTAGGCAAAGCCAAGCACCAATTTTACTCCACACCCCAGCCAGCTTTTCTGGAAGGAAGGGCTAAGGGAACACATTGGTTGTTGACCTAATAGCACTGGGGATGTTTGTCTTTCTGCTGTGTGTAGAACAAAACTGCCCATCTCATTTTAATGCTGCCCTTCTCTTCCACTCTGCCACAGTAATGGTGCTGACTGGTTTACATCCAATCTCTCTCTGGGTGGGAGTATATATTCTTGGTGACATATGCTGCATTGCATCTCAGTTCGTGTTGCTCTAACAGCAAAGCATATGGGTTTTGCAGAGCACATTAGTGGGTGAGAGGAAAAGAGATGCTTCAGGCTGAGAGAAGCTGGCTGAAGGGGGTGTAACTGTAAGATCTGACACTCAGTGGAAGATATAATGCAGGCGAGTAGAAGCAAAAACATCCTGTTGTCTTCCCTACTGTGCCTGTGAGTCAGAGTGTGAGTGTTAGCTCAGAAGAGGCATTCCCTCTCAAGTGTGAGGGGGTAATTATGAAGCCTCTTAAGAGGAATCCTGCTGCATCCTTAGCATTTGCAGGTTCATCAGTTCAAGGAATGATGCAGCCTTTCTCCAAGCGAAGATCTTTATGTTGCCAAATGTGGCACCATGCAACAACAAGAAGCTATCAGCTGGCTGGGAAGACTCCCAAAATTCTGCAGAATTATTAAAGCCCCCCTCAAATATGCTCAGTGCTAAGGAAAGAACAATTGTGTGTGGATGATGATGATGATGGAACCCATGATGATATACAACTCAATAAAAATAAAGTATGCAATCTAGGTCCAGATTATATTCCAAATGTCAAATGAACATACATGTTTTTACTCACTACCTAAGCCTTGATAGAATGGAAGCCAACCATTCTGTCCTGGGAGAGTATTCCATAATCAAGGTTCTACCATTCAGATAACATATTAAAATTGTTTTGAAAGAGTACGTTGTGACTTCCACAGCTCTTGCTGGGAAGAGATACAGGACAGCAAACAAATTAAGAAAAAGAAAAGATCTCAACACCTCAGAATATAAGATTCATAAGAATAAAATACTCAGAGGCTTCCTCTCCTCCCCCTAAATCCTGGGAAAGCAGCTGGAAGAATGCTTTGGGGGACTCCGTTTCCATCCATTGCTGAACTTGAAGCAAGAAAAGAACAACTTCTTATATTTGTTTTAAGAATTGACTGCTAATGAACCCAAGCATCTGCAATGACTCTGAAGCATGAGAAACCTGGTATAATCCCAAAGGTGCTCCACAATTAAGGAATAGAAAGTCTCTTTTTCAAACAGCAGAGCTCCTAGCTCTGAGCTCTGCCACCTCCAAGTAGGACTAACAAAGATTCCATTTTGACATCCTGGAGAGATTTCTTCCCACCCATATTGAAATGCCTTGTTCCAGTCCTAGTAAAAAAATTATGGAGGCATGCTTTGCACTGTCCTCTTGTTGCAGAGCTCTATTCAGCATCCACAATGCAGTTGGGATATAGAGTTTCTCCTTACAGTTTTAATATGGAACAAGTTAAGAAAAGTGACTGGTGGATTCTCCTAGCTTTATGCTGTATGTCCTTCCATCCAACATCATCAGCTGACAGGAAAAACATCTATCCATTGCTATCCTTAATGTGTGGGGTGGTATCTGCAGAAGAGGTGATTTTTGACACCTGGCTAGACTAGCAAGTTCAGTCACCTTTCCAACTTTGCTCTGGTTTTGCACAAGTGTCTTGCACAGGTGTGTTCAAAAAGAACTGTGATGTTCTGATGCCAGCTGATAGTTGGGCTCCTGCTATTCTAGAACAGCACTAAACTTGTGTTTAAAAGTAGCTTGAGGACTGACTTCTGATGTGGGAAAAATGGCAACTTAGTCATCTCTTCGTGTGAGGGGAGATGGCACCACAGCTGATCGGTGGCTGGCAGCAAGCGCTGGCCACCTAACTTGCTCTGGATCAAAGAGGGAGTGTGATATCAACCCATCTGCCCTCCAGATGGCTGTTTCTCGAAAGCTAATCATGGAGATAAAAGCCTCTGCGAATGGCTTTTAGGTTGAGTGGCCGGGAGACAGGGGATCAATCTTTGTTTGCAGCTATGGTGCAGCCTTTATATGAACACTAGAGCCAACCAACCCTCATTTCTAAAGCACTTTGGATTATAATTAATTTTTCAACTTAAGAGAGACCTTCCTTCGCAACAGATAAGTAATTCCCTTGGGGCTTATGCTTATTTTTGGGACTATATTTTTAAAAGAAGAAATAGAGCTTTAATTTGAATCTGATTAATTTGCAAAAGGCTGGATGAAAATTGGAATTTAAAAGAGACTTAAAAGTTACTTACAGTGAAAAGGGAAGATTTATTTGTTAGCAGTTTATTTTTCTACAAAACTCCATTTGCAATAATGAGGTTTGATTTTTTCACGGGAAAGTTTCATGTTGTGCTAGCCTATGCCTGTTAATTGGCTGGGTTTTCAACACAGAAGAAGATTGTAACTCGATCTCTGTGTTTTTTCTTTGACCCATGTTTGCAATTCCAGCTTGAAAGACACTGGGGGCACGAACTGTCAGTTTACTTTCTCTTGTATTTAAATATATCCGGCTAGCCATTTTACTTGCACAAAGGAAAAATAAAAAAATAAGAAGATTGTGGCTATAGGAAAGCAGTGCAAAAAATGTGAGAAAGATGAGGCTCTGTAGAGCAACCAGTAGAGGAGAAGATAGTTGCTTTAAGTTTACTTAAACCAACGTTTGATGAATTAGGAGCGAAATTTGTGATTTTGGAAAAAAAAATGGAAGAAAGAATAGATAAGATGGACAATTATGTGAAACAAATAGCTGGAGAGATGAAACAAATTTCTGGAGAAGTG